GGACTTTCAGGGAGATATCAACAGCAATACAGTCACCGTAGGGGACTTTAACACCCACTGACTTCACTGGATAGATCTTCCAGACAAAAATTCAACAAGGAAACATAGGCTTTAAATGACACACTAGATCAGATGGATTGTTTTATAAATTACTTTGAATTTAGTAGTAGTAGTAGTAGTAATAGTATAAATATTAGTATTAGTATTTTATCTTTATTTTGAAAGTATTACAGATGTTCCCTTTTTCCCCCATTGTTCTCTTGTAGGTCACACTTCACCACACTATTATCTGTGTCCATGGGCTATGCATATATGCATGTAAGTTCTTTGGTGAATAGCTTTCCACCCACCCCCCGCCTTCCCTCTGAGATTCAACAGTCTGTTCCATGCTTCTATGTCTCTGGTTATAGTTTATTCCACAGTTTATTTTGTTCATTAATTCCACATATGAGTGATATCATGTGATACTAGCTTATTTCACTTAGCATAATACTCTCCAGGTCCATGCATGCTGTCTCAATGGGTAAGAGATCCTTCTGTTTTGCAGTTGCATATATTCCATGGTGTAAATGTACCACAGCATTTTTTATCCACTCATCTATACTAATAAAAGATCCTTCTGTTTTGCAGTTGCATATATTCCATGGTGTAAATGTACCACAGCATTTTTTACCCACTCACCTATACTAATAAAAGGGTAATATGCTAATTCGACTGGGAGACCTTCTGGACAAAGCCATGGCAGTGGGGCCAAGGCAGAGGTGGTTAGGGGCAATCAGGCCAGGAGGGGAGGGCAATTGGGGGTGATCAGGCTGGGGGGGGCAGTTGGGATTGAGCAGGCCTGCATGGGGGCAGTTGGGGGCAAGCAGGCCGATGCGGGGGGGGCAGTGAGGGGCGAGAAAGCTGGCAGCGGGGGGCAGTTAGGGGCAATCAGGCAGGCAGGCAGGTGAGCGGTTAGGAGCCAGCAGTCCCAGATTGCGGGACCTGTGGGATCGGGCATAAACCAGCAGCCGGACATCCCCCAAGGGGTCCCAGATTGGAGCGGGTGCAGGCCAGGCTGAGGGACCCCCCCCCCCCATGCATGAATTTCATGCACTGGGCCACTAGTCTATTATAAATTACACTGTTATGAACATAGGGGTACATATATTCTTTCTGATCGATGTTTCGGGTTTCTTAGGATATATTCCTAGTAGTGGGATCACTGGATCAAATGGCAGTTCCATATTTAATTCTTTGAGGGCATTCCATACTGTTTTCCATGATGGCTGCAACAGTCTGCATTCCCACCAGCAGTGTACTAGGGTTCTCTTTTCTCCACATACTTGCCAGCACTTGACATTTGTTGATTTGTTGATGGTAGACATTCTGACAGGTATGAGGTGATACTTCATTGTCATTTTAATTTGCGTCTCTCTGATGATTAGTGACTTTGAGCATGCATGTTTCCATGTTTCTTGGCCACCTGTATGTCCACTTTGGTGAAATTTCTATTTAGATTCCTTGCCCATTTTTTTAATTGGATTGGTTATCTTCCTTTTGTTAAGTTGTGTGAGTTCCTTATATATTTTAGATATTAACCTCTTATCAAATGTATCATTGACAAATACAGTAGGTTCCTTTTCCATTTTGTTGATGGTTTCTTTTGCTGTATAGAAGATTTTATTTTGATTTAGTCCCATTTGTTTATTTTTCTTTTGTTTTTCTTGCACTAGAGATTATATCAGTGAAAATGTTACTATATGAGATGTCTGATATTTTATTGCCTATGTTTTCTTCAAGGATTTTTATAGTTTCACAAATTACGTTTAAATCTTTTATCCATTTTGAGTTTATTCTTGTGTATGATGTCAGTTGGTGGTCTAGTTTCATTTTTTTTTACATGAAGCTGTCCAATATTCCCAACACCATTTATTAAAGAGAGTGTCTGTACTTCATTGTATGCTCATGCCTATTTTGTCAAATATTAATTGAGCATAATGGCTTGTGTTGATTTCTGTGTTCTCTGTTCTGTTGCATGATCTATATCAGTGATGGCAAACCTTTTGAGCTCGGCGTGTCAGCATTTTGAAAAACCCTAACTTAACTCTGGTGCCGTGTCACATATAGAAATTTTTTTGATATTTGCAACCATAGTAAAACAAAGACTTATATTTTTGATATTTATTTTATATATTTAAATGCCATTTAACAAAGAAAAATCAATCAAAAAAATGAGTTCGCGTGTCACCTCTGACACACGTGTCATAAGTTCGCCATCACTGATCTATATGCTGGTTTTTGTACCAGTACCAGACTGTTTTGATTATGCTGGCTTTGTAGTGTAACTTGATATCTCATATTGTGATTCCTCTAACTTTGTTCTTCCTCAAGATTGCTGTGGCTATTTGGGGTCTTTTTTGGTTCCATAGAAATTTTTGGAGTATTTGTTTTTGATCTGTGAAATATTCCATTGGTATTTTCATAGAGATTGCATTGAATCTACAGATTGCTTTGGGTAGTATGGATATTTTAATGATGTTAATTATGTTAATTATGTTAATTCTAAGAATCCATGAACATGGTATATTCTTCCACTTGTTTATATCTTCTTCTATCTCTTTTTTCAACATCCTGTAGTTTTTGGAGTGCAAGTCATTTACCTCCTTGGTTAAGTTTATTTCTAAGTATCTTAATTGTTTTGTTGCAATGGTAAATGTGATTATTATACTAGTTTCCCTTTCTGAGAATTCATTATTGGTGTATAAAAGTGTCAATAATTTCTGGGTGTTAATTTTGTATCCTGCTGAGTTGCTGAATTCATTTATTAAATCTATTAGTTTTTTGGTGGAGTCTTTGGTGTTTTCTATGTATAATATCATGACATCTGTGAATAATGACAGTTTTATTTCCTATTTTCTGATATGGATGCCTTTTATGTTTTCTTTTTGTCTGATCACTGTGATTAAGACATCCAGTACTATGAGAATGGTGAAAGCAGACATCCCTGTCTTGTTCCTGTTCTTATGGGGAAATGGTTTTAGTTTTTGCCCATTGAGTATGATGTTTGCTGTAGGTTTGTCATATATCACCTTTATTATGTTTAGATATGACCCCTCTATTCCCACTTTGCTGAGAGTTCTTATAAAAAATCAGCGTTGGATTTTTTCAAATGCTTTTTCTGTGGATATTAATATGACCATGTGATTTTTGTCTTTCAACTTGTTTGTGATGCATCACATTTATTGATTTGTGAATATTGTATCAGCCTTGCATCCCTGGAATAAATGCCACTGGTCATGTTGTATAATCTTTTTAAAATATTGCTGGATTCGTTTTGCTAATATTTTGTTGAGGATTTTAGCAACTATGTTCATCTGGTATATTGACCGGTAATTATCTTTCTTTGTAGTGTCTTTATCTGTTTTTGGAATTATGATAATGCTGGCCACATAGAAAGAGTTTGGAAGTGCTCCTTCCTCCAGGATTTTTGGACTAGTTCAAGTAGGATAGGTGGTAGTTCTTTGACTGTATGGCAAAACTCCCTTGTGAAGCTGTTCATACAAGGGCCTTTTTTTGCTTGGAGATTTTTTTATTACTATTTCAATTTCATCAGTTGTTATTGACCTATACAGGTTTTCTGATTCTTCCTGACTGAGTTTTGGAAGATTGTATTTTTCTAGGAATCTGTCCATTTCATCCACATTGTCCAGTTTGTTGGCATATAGTTGCTCATAGTATTTTCTTACAATCATTGGTATTTCTGTGGTTTCATTTGTTACTTCACCACTTTCATTTCTGATTTTATTTATATGGGTCTTCTCTTTTTGTTTCTTGATAATTTTGGCTAAATGTTCATCAATCTTATTTCTCTTTTAAAATAACCAGCTTTTGGTTTTGTTTGTCTTTTGTATTGCTTTTTTTTCCCAACTGATTTTTGACAAGGGTGCCAAGACAATTTATTGGGAAAAGAGGTCTTCTCAACAAATAGAACTGGGACAACTGGATAGTCACATGTGAACCTTACATCACATCATATTCACTAGTAACTTAAAATGAACCAAGATCTAAATATCAGACCTAGAATTTTTTTAATTCTTTATTGTTTAAAGTATTACATATGTCTCCTTTTATCCCACCCCACCCCCAGAATATGCCCTCACCACCCTACTGTCTGTGTCCATTGGTTATACTTATATGCATGTATACAAGTTCTTTGGTTGATCTCTTCCCTCCCCCACTCCTTCCCTCTGAGGTTGGGTGGTTTGTTCGATGCGTCTATGTCTCTGATTCCACTTTAGTTTATCTGTTTATGTTGTTCATTCTATTCCACAAATGAGTAAGATCATGTGACATTTATTTTTCTCCGACTGGCTTATTTCACTTTTGTTTGCTAGAAGTTTTTAAATTATTGTTTCAATTTCATCAGTAGTTATCAGCCTATTCAGGTTTTTTTTTTATTTTTCCTGATTGAGTTTTGGAAGCTTGTATTTTTTTTTTTAGGAATATGTCCATTTCGTCTAGGTTGTCCAGTTTGTTGGAGGAGAGTTGTCCCTGGTATTTTTTTATAATCTTTCGTATGTCTGTGAGGTCAGTTGTTACTTCACCTCTTTAATTTGTGATTTTGTTTATTTGGGTTCTCTCTCTTTGTTTTTTGGTGAGCCGGGCTAGAGGTTCACCAATCTTGTTTATCCTTCAAAGAACCAGCTCTTGGTTTTATTGATCTTTTGTTTTGTGTTTTTTTTTTTTGGGGGGGGGGGTCTCTATGCCGTTTACTTCCACTCTGATCTTTATTATTTCCTTCCTTCAACTTACTCTGGGCTTTTCTTGTTGCTCGTTTTCTAATTCTTTAAGTTGCAGGTTATATAATGTATTACCAGTTTTACTTTTTCTTTTCTTTTTTTTTTTTTGAGGTAAGCCTGTAGAGCTATGAACTTCCGTCTCAGAACTACTTTCACTGTGTACCATAGATTTTGGATTGTTGTGCTTTCATTGTCACTTGTTTCCAGGGCTTTTCAAACAAATGTTCCCAATAGGCTGAATGCTACCAACATAGCAGAAGGAAAACCTACTGGGAAAATGTTTTGTGGTCATGCCCATGGCAAATGAGAAACTGCATTCGAAAAGCCTTGGTAATGACAACAGGATGCTTTTTAAAAAATTCTTTATTATTTAAAGTATTACATATGAATCCTTTTTCCCCTATTGACCTCTCCACACTAGTTCCCATCCCAGTACATGCCCTCACTCCCCCTACTGACTGTGTCCATGGGTTATGCTTATATGCATGCATAAAGTCCTTTGGTTGATGTCTCACCCCGCTCCTCACAAACCCCCCACTGCACACTCCCTGCCTTCACCCTGAGGTTGGATAGTCTGTTCGATGCTTCTATGTCTCTGGATCTATTCTAGTTCATCAGTTTATGTTGTTCATTATATTCCACATATGAGTGAGATTATGTGATATATACTTTTCTCCAACTGACTTATTTGCTTAGCATAACACTCTCCAGATCCATCCATGCTGTTGCAAATGGTAAGAGTTCCTTCTTTTTTACCGCAGTGTAGTATTCCATTGTGTAGATGTACCACACTTTTTTAACCCACTCATCTGCTAAGGGGCACTTAGGCTGTTTCCAAATCTGGCTATTGTAAATTGTGCTGCTGTGGACATAGGGGTGCATATGTCCTTTCTGTTGGTGTTTCTGATTTCTTGCAATATATTCCCAGAAGTGGGATTCCTGGATTGAATGGGAGATCCATTTTAAATTTTTTGAGAAAATTCCATACTGTTTTCCACAGTGGCTGCACCAGTCTGCATTCCCACCAGCAGTGCACAAGGGTTCATTTTTCTCCACATCCTCGCCAGCACTTGTCATTTGTTGATTTGTTGATGATAGCCATTCTGACAGGTGTAAGATGGAACCTCATTGACAACCATTTCTTACTTCATCAGTAGGGTCAAGTTTCTAAGCTTTCTAAATCTCCGTTTTCCAGCTAATGAAAAGAAAATAGGATTCCACTGAGTCTCCTATCTACCTACTCCAGAACTTCTGTGAGGATCAAATGAGACTAGGCATGGGAAAACGCTTCACAGACATTTGGTTAAAGTATAAAATGTTTCCACCTGGCTATAAAGCAAGTCCTGTTCCTGGGCTGAAGAAACTGCAAGGAGGCTAGTTGCTAGGGAGAGGAAGCCGGGCATTGCTACGTGACATCATTACCTGGATGGTTGGACACTTAGCATATTAGCCTTTTATGTGTATAGATATGCATAGCTCATGGACACAGACAATAGTGTGGGGAAGGTCTGGTGTGGGGAGCAGGTGCAGGCTACAAGGGTAAATGGGGGGAAAAGTGGACACCTATATTACTTTCAATAATAAAGATAAATTAAAATAAATAAATATAATACAAATTCTTAATAATTTTTTAAAAATGTTGACACACTGGATCAGATGTATTTAGTTGATATTTATAGAACATTTCATCCCAAAACAGCAGAATATATATTCTTCTTAAGTGCACATTGAACATTCTCAAAGTTAGAACATGTTAGTACACAAAATAAGTCTTAAAAATCCAAGAAGATTGAAATCATATCAAGCATTTTCTCTGACCACAATGATATGAAACTAGAAATCTACAACAATGAAAAACATTCAAACACATGGAGGCTAAATAGCATGTTGTTAAGGAATATATGGGTAAACAATGAGAGCAATGGAGTAACGAAAAATTATCAGGAAGATAATGAGAATGAACATACAATGGCCTAAAATTTATGGGACACAGAAAAGCAGTCCTAAGAGAATAGTTCATAGCATTGCAGGCCTACTCAAGAAGCAAGAAAAGTTTCAAATAAACAGTGTAATCCTACACCTAAAATAACTAGAAAATGAGCAAAAAGAAAAGCCCAGAGGCATAGAAGGAAGAAAATAATAAAGATCAGAGTGGGAATAAATAACATAGAGACTAAAAAAAATACAAAAGATCAATGAAACCAAGAGTTAGTTGTTGAAAAGATAAACAAGATTGTTAAACCTTTAACCAAACTCATGAAGAAAAAAGAGCAATAACCCAAATAGATAAAAGTTAGAAATGAAAAAAGTAACAAATGACATCACAGAAATATAAAGAATTGTTAGAAAATACTCTGAACAACTATTTGCCAACAAATTGAACACCTTGGATGAAATGGATAGATTTCTAGAAACATACAATCAGTATGAGTCATAAAACCTGAATAGATGAATAAAAACAAATGAAATTAAAGCAGTAATAAAAAAAAACTCACTGCAAACATAAGTACTGGACCAGATGACTTCATAGGTGAATTTTACGAAACATTTCTTCTCAAAGCATTCCAAAAAATTCAAGAGTAGAGAAGACATCCAAGCTTTTTTTTTTACAAGATCAACATTATCCTAATTTCAAAACTGATAAAGAACTACAAAGAAAGAAAATTATAGGCCAATGTCCCTGATGAACATAGATACTAATATCCTTAACAAAATATTGGCAAACTAGATCCAGCAACACATTAAAAAGATCATACAACATAATCAAGTAGGATTTATTCCAGGGATGCCAGGTTGGTACCATATTTGCAGATCAATCAATGTGATACATCACATAAACAAAATGAACATGATCACATTAATAGATACAGAAAAAGCATTTTATAAAATCCAGCACCTATTTATGATAATAAAATCTCAGCAAAGTGGGAATAGAGGGATCATATCTCAACATAATAAAGGCCATATATGAAAAACCTGCAGCCAATTTCACACTCAATGGACAAAAACTAAAAGTGTTTACCATAAGATCAGGAACAAGACATGAATGCTAGCTTTCACCACTCTTATTCAATAAAGTATGGAAAGTCTTAACCACAGCAACCATACAAGAAGAAGAAATGAAAGACATCCAAATTGGAAAGGAGGAAGTAAAATGTCACTATTCAGAGTTGACATGATATTGTACATAGAAAACTCTAAAGACTCCATCAAAAAAAACTACTAGATCTAATAAATGAATTTGGCAAAGTACCATGTTAGAAAATTAACATTCAGAACTTTGTCATATTTTTACACCAATAATAAATTATCAGAAAGTGAAATTAAGAGAAAAATCTGATTTACCATTGCAATAATAACAACAAAAGTAAGGTACCTAGGACTAAATTTAACCAAGGAAGTAAAAGACCTGTACTTGGAATATTATGGACATTGAATAAAGAGATTGAAGAAGATATAAATAAGTGGAAGCTCATACCTTGTTCATGGATAGGAAAAAAATAACATCATTATAATGTCCATACTTCCCATGACAATTTACAGGTTCAATGCAATTTCCGTTAAAATACCACTGGCAAATTTCACAAATCTAAAACAAATACTCCAAACATGTATATGAAACCACAGAAGACCAAAATAGCCTCAGCAATCTTGAAAAAGAACAGAGTTAGGTATCATAATACCTAATATAAAACAAGGCCATTGTTATCAAAACAGCCTGGTACTGGCAGAGGAACAGGTATATAGATCAATGCAACAGAACAGAGAGCCTAGAAATCAACCCACACCTTTGTGATTGACAAAGGAGGCGAGAATATACAATAGAGCAAAGATAGTCTTTTCAATAAATGGTGTTGGCAAAGTTGGACAGATACATGAAAAAAAAAGAGAGAGAAACTGAACCATCAACTTATACCATACACAAGAATAAACTCAAAATATATAAAAGACTTAAATGTAAGTCATGAAACCATAAAGATTTTAGGACTAAATTTAACCAAGGAAGTAAAAGACCTGTACTTGGAATATTATGGACATTGAATAAAGAGATTGAAGAAGATATAAATAAGTGGAAGCTCATACCTTGTTCATGGATAGGAAAAAAAATAACATCATTATCAGCAAAAAAAAACATCAACAAAATATAAAGGGAACCCACTCTGTGGGAGAACATATTTGCCAATGATACATCTGAAAGGGGTTAATGTTCAAAATATATAAATAACTTATACAACTCAACATCAGGAAGACAAACAATCCAATTAAAAAATGGGCATAGGTCCTGAATGGACACTTTTTCAAAGAGAACATATAGATGGCAAATAGACATTTGAAAAGATGCTAACATCACTAACCATTACAGAGATGGAAATTAAAACCACAATGAGATATCACTTCACACCTGTCAAAATGGTTTTCATCAATAAATCAACAAACAACAAATGCTGGCAAGTATGTGGAGAAAAGTGATCTCTTTTGCACTGTTGGTGGGAATGCAGACTTGTGCAGCCACTGTTGAAAACAGTATGAAGTTTTCTCAAAAAATAAAAAATGGAACTACCTTTTGACCCAGTGATTCCACTTCTGTGAATATATTTTAAGAATCCCAAAGCACTATTTCAAGAGAATATATGCAACTCTATATTCATTGCAGCATTATTTATAGTATCCAAGATCTGGAAACATCCCGAGTGCCCATCAGTAGATGAGTGGATAAAAAAAGCTATAGTACATTTATACAATATACATTTATACACAGTTAATACTATGCAGCTGTAAAAAAGAAGAAAATCTTGTTTGTAACAGCATGGATTGACCTGGAGATTATTATGCTAAATTAAATAAGCCAGTCAGAGAAAGACAAACCATAGGACCTCACTATATGTGGAATCTAATGAACTAAATAAACTGACAAATAAAATAGGAACATTCACATGGATACATTGAACAGACTTAGCTATCAGAGGGGAGGGTGGTGGGGGGACTAGATGAAATGTGAAGGGATTAGCATATATATATCCTATCTAATAAAGACAGAATATGCTAATTGACTGTCACACCCTCACAAAATGGCAGTGCCCACAGCCAATAAAGAGGGAATATGCTAATGGACTGCCACACCCTCACAAGATGGTGAAGCCCACAGCCACAAGATGGCAGCGCCCAGTCCCCTCAGCCCTGCCTCATCCAGCCAGAGTCTCCCAATCCCCTCAGCCCCACCTGATCCAGCCTCAGTCCCCCAGTCCTCTCAGCCCCATCTCACCCAGTCCCCGCAGCATCCAGCCTCATCCAACCTCAGTCCCCCAGTCCCCTCAGCCCTGCCTCATCCAGCCTGAGTCC